GCTGCAGATCCTCGCTGACGTTGGCGGAATCAAAACTGAACCGCCCCCACTGAAAAATAAGTCAATAATATAAGATCTCTGGTGTGATCAGCAGAAAATCGACACGAAATAATAGAAACTGCTATTGTCCCTAGCAAGTAAAAACATAATCAGGCTTTCTTTTTATTTTAAAAAGGAAGGGGGTGGGGGGAGGGGGCTGGCTGGTTAAGGCTGTTTGGAAGTGCATTCCTTGTGTGTGTTGTTTGGGAGGGGGGGATGCATGTGTATATTATAGCGTCGTACATGATGGCTATAAACAGCTAAAAAAAAAACGGGAACAGCTATTAAGAAACACTCACGGCAGAAGAAAGCTGCAATCGCAACTCCCAAAAGCCCCTCCCCTAGCTAGAAGTGTGCTGACAAAGTCAGAACGGCAGGCAGGGCGTCTCTTGTGAACGGCCGAGCTCCAGCACGTCTTCGTTGCCCTTCGCTGCGATGTGGCTGCACGTGAACGCTCGACGGTCGCGAGATAGAAACCCTGTCGACGGTTCGAAGCTAGTGCTGGAGGAACTGAAGCTTCTCCCTGCCGTTCTCACCCTGCCAGTGATTGTAGTTGAAATATTCGTGCCAAAGGGATCCAACATCGCGACCGAAGCCCCGTCAAACACCTCGAGGGAAGCGACAGACGCGCACGAAAATCAGATATTCCGTCACGCAGGCACTGCCAACTGACTTTCCCGCGTTCGGTAGTGATTCTGTTTCTATTCTGACACCGATTCTATTTAGTTTTTCCCGCGTATTTAGCAAAATTGATCTTCCAACGAACGAGAAACTTACTTTTGTCGGAGCACCGACGTGGTCCAGGCTTGGCGCCGTTCGAGTCTCGCACGGCTTTTCAGGGAAGCGGTAGAATTTTAAGGATCGACTACAACAACATCGAAGATTGTTGCTGCGATCAGCAACGAAATATTCGTGCTAGCCGGGCTTTTATATCGTCTCTATCGCAATGAATGTTATATCCGACCGCTTACGACGGAGAAGCGAGGCGAAAAACAACGAGCCACTCGGACTCGGGCGTCCCGCCAGGGGCTGGAATGGCGCTGTAGTCGGCGGCGAAACTTGAGCGCTTCGGTCCTATAGCATTGTCGCCAGAAATTCAAAATGGCCACGTTTTGACACCCCCATGACAAAAAATACTTCCGTCACCTTTTTTTTAATTGTGTGTGTGCGTGTGCGTGTGCGTGTGTGTGTGTGTTTGTTTGTTTCGATGCGCAACAATTCTGCCTCGTGAGTTCCACTGCTCCACGCTTAGGGTTCAGCTGGCGCTGTACCCTGTTTCCCTTTAAGTCCGACACCGGCCAACGTAACGATCTAACGGAGCCGTACGAGCGACAACAAAAATGTTTCGTCACGGCACTGGTTGGCTTTGTGCCTTTGTTATCTCCAACTAAACCAATCACGATTAAAAAAAATACGCGCGGAATCGGCGCATGAATGTGTGCGTGATTGGTTTAGTCGTTGAAAGCAGACTTGATCGGCGACTTGATTGAATGCGCCAGATTGTAGCGTCGGCTGCGGTCCAACTTGAAATGAAATGGAGTGTCTACACGACCTCCAGTTTCGAATTTAAGGTAACAACAATCCCTATACTTCTCTTTTCTTTTTTTTTTTCGCTTTGCTTCTGTGCATTTTAAGTGCGACCGCATTTTGTCGCTTCGCCATCTTTTTTATTGCTTATACCCTGCCTGGGCCTACAAAAAGGCCCGCACTATCTCAAATAAAATGAAATAACTAAATAAATAAATAAACAATTTGTTAGTCGGACGTAGCGAATCAAATTTCATTTAATACATAATTTAAAAAAATGTATAATTACATTAGCTAAACATCTTTCTTTCTTTCTGTCTTTCTTTTATTTCTAGTCCGCGATGCTTAACTTGTCAATATTTCAGGCCCACACATATATGGTATTCGACGTAGCACGCGCCTAAAAATAAGCGATGTATCTAGGTACTCGCGACAATCCTCGCAAGTGGGCTCATTTTCGTCTTTTGCGCATGAGAGAGGGAGTAGCGGTGACGTCAGAACGCCGAGCCCTGATTGGCTGATCGCGACCCCCTATCTGAGTGTCGTCTGCTCCTTTGCTACGTCGTCTGCTCGCAACGTCGTCTGCGTCTGTCTTACCTTTCCTGCGACTTTCGGAAGTCGAGCGAGTTCGACTTCGCCTTTCAGAGGGGACAGACGAAATAACTCGAGCGGTGCGCTGTTTTTTGTCTAACAACTAGCCGACGCGCATCAAGGAGGGAAGTCAAAGGACTCACTGGCGAGGTGTCCCGAGGCGCCGAGGTTTGTTTGCTAAGAACAGAGAATGAGGGTGGTTAGTGTCCGCAAGTTCCCTCCCAAATACTTTTTCCTCCTTTCGTGTGCGGCGAGACCTTTCACTCTTTAACGGCGTCGGCGGGTCGGCACAGTTAACGTTGTCTGCTTTACGTTTGCTAGTCAAAGCGATGGCTGCTTTACCTTTCCTGCGTCTGTCGGAGATTCACCGCTTTTTCACCGGCGAAAGTCACCGTTGCCTCGGAAAACAAGATGACAAGAGGAAGAGATTGACCTCTTAATCTAAAATTGTGGTCAGCGATCAAAGTATAATACGGGAAGGGTTCACAAGGGTCGCGCCGGCATATTCCATTCAGCACGCCAGCCGGTCGTGGGCAGACGGTCGCCGAGTCGGAGTGCCTGCTAGGCCTATCTGCCGTGCTCGCTTGGTCGTTGTCGGTGGAATCGTGGCCGTTGGAGCTTTTTCCGGGTCTTTGTGGATCCAGCGTTCTTGTTCCTCGTAATCTGTTTCAAGTATTCTTTTACTTTTTTCTTGCTGCTTGAAATCGGGACCCGTGAGGAGCGCACGTAGAAAAATAAACGTTCGTTGGTGGTCGCGACCGCGACGCTGTCGGCCATGCTGATTTGATTAAGACAGCTTCGAAGCTGCCACAGGATTTCATCGTAACCTGCGCAAAACTTACGAAAATTTCGTTTCGTGAATACGAATTTGTTCTTAAGTTTTGTCTTGCGCACATTTTTGGCGTAAGTTCGTTTCGTGAATCTGGCCTCTGCACTTCCGAAAGTCGCAGGAAAGGTAAAACAGACGCAGACGACGTTGCGAGCAGACGACGTTGCAAAGGAGCAGACGACGCTCAGATAGGGGGTCGCGATCAGCCAATCAGGGCTGGGCGTTCTGACGTCACCGCTACCCCCTGAGCAAGAAGCAGACGAACTTGCCCTCCGCATTGAAAAGAACGTAGGGTTTGTTTAGAGTGCGCCAACGTCAAGAGGAGGCTAATATGGATGCCACTTTGCGAGAAGCTAAAGATGCGGACAGCTGAAAAGGTAAAATAAACGGCGTATAGGTTATAAAAGATGCGTCATTTCTGTTACGTCATATACCGCGCCTGTTGTTTTATCGGGCACCAAGTGTTTTCTTAGTTCTCTCTATTTTCGTCGATTTATGTGAATATGTTTTCGATGCTAGAACAAAACTATCTCCGCACATATTTATTACCGGATTTAAAAAAAAGTATTCATTGCAAATTGCACTAATTATTTCAAGTTTACTTTTTCTTTATCCTGTCCAAATACAGGTAGTTATTGATTTCGTGATACTGCGCACTTGCTTCCGTCTCCTCGATTTGACGCATTCGTCTTCTTTTGGGTACTATTGTCAATATAATTACATTTGTTAAAGTTTAGTTGTCGCTTTTATAAACAAGTAAGTAACATGAAGATTCAAACTCCTACATAAGCACTGCTATAAAGCTGTATGAACATTTCGTTTAATTCTATTAATTTAAATAAAACACGGTAACTAGCAAATACTTTGGACGATGTAATCAATCGAGGAATGTTTCAAGTTATTCACTGGGTTAAAAGGTTTCGTAATATTTGCTCGTATAGTCAGGCACGGAAAAATGTATACACCTACGTTTTCCTCGAAATGTGTTACCGGAAATTATTTTTATAATGGTTGTTGTCTCCTTCAATTTCTAACAACGCCCTGGCGCCAGCTGAACCCCTACCGTATGTTATAATAAAACTGTAGGGACGTGGCAGAGTTTTAGTACGTCGTACACTGCGGAAAGCGGGCCCAGGTGGCGCGTACCCAATGCATGCTTGGAAGTGACGGCGCAGGCTCCCTCTAGCAAATCGGAGCCCGTATCGTCTACTAACAGTCTCTGTTTAGTGGATCATACACTAGAGATTCGCAGCGTACGATCTACTAAAAATGGAGACTCCTAGTAGATCGTATTCTAGAGCTACGCTTTGCCAGCGGGAGTTCGTGCCGTTACTTTGAAGCATGGATCATGGCCTCCTCTTCAGTCACAAAGCCTGGCAGTTCGACGACGGAGTCATAGAGTGCCCGGTCGACGATTTTGAGCGCGAGGATTTGGTAGCACAGAGCATCAAAGAGCCATTTTTCCCAAGTACCCTTCCCCTCCGACTGTGACGTGGGCGTCTAAGTACGCCTTAACAACAGTTGGTTTCCCAAACCGGCCTCCGAAACGCATACTACTACCATTTGTCGGGGAACCTGGACGTCAGCGCACAGCTTTCGCAGCGGCGAGGACCCGAAACGCACTTCTTCGCTCTGGAGGAGTGTGTTTCGGCGTCTCGCCGCAGCGGGGCGCCAGTCACGTGGCTCTCCTCTCGTTCGTTGCCTGCCGCTCCACCTTCTCCATTTCGGTGGCTGCTTCTTGTGGCGATCTGCCAGGCTTTGTCCGTATATAGGAGGCTATGCATGGATTGAACACGCACCCGCTGTGCCCGCTCTTCGCAGCCGCTCTACCAAAACTCTCATAACCCTGTTTTTGTAACATTTCACAGTGGCTCGTGCAAGTTTGTTTGATTTAAATTTTGATACACACCCGAGTCCCAAGACCTGGACTGTATGAGACGCTAAACATTCTAATACTGGACGCGTTCTTTGCACTCGAGCCTTACAAAAGCTAGGGGAATCAGATATGACTTACCTGAGCGGCCGCTGCTCGTACGGCCTGGACATAGCTGTCCAAATTCTTCGCGACGAGTGCTTCGAAGGATTCGTTAGCTGGGTCGCCCAACAAGACGTGTTCGTAAACTGCTGCTTTGAAGGCGCAGCACGTGCCCGCAGTCAAGAGGCCGGTGAGTAATAGACGAAGATCCCAACATGTCATCTTGATGGGTGAACCTGCAAGCATTCGCGTCTGATTAATGGGGTGTTCTCACGTGACGTAAATTTTGTTCTTAAAGTGAGTGAGTGAGAAATGTTTTATTTCACTCAGAAGAAAGGAGGGAAAAAAAGGCGTGATGTAACTCATAAACGCTTTGTGCAATACCGACTTGAGGGTGTCATGTGAATCTTGAAACACTCGCTCTTAGCGAGCGCCTGACAGCTGATGGCAAGAAAATGGGGAACAAAATTACGTCGCGGTGAGAAGCACGCGAGGGGCGCCGCTGTTTTTCACACTATGGGTGGTGAACCCAAGCGGTTATGTTCTAATTCTCATGGTGCAAAGAAGCTTGGCATTGTATGTGCTTGCAGCGGCAGAGGAAGCTGAAGTATACTCTCTGGTTTGTGAAAAAATTCCACGAGGCGGCGACATCCAAAACTCTCGCCTCGAATAGCTGGCCCTGGGGCCCTATGTTGCGCATTTTGAACTCCCGCTGCGACTATAGGGAGAAGGAAGTGACGTCAACAACGCAGCAAACGCGGGTTGGATGTCGATTGATAAGAGTCGCTGATGGTGAATTTCCGCAGAAGAATAGAAAGAAAAAGTGAGCTTTGTTTTCTTCTGCGGAAATTCGTCATCAGCAACTCTCACCAATCAACATCCAATCTGCGTTTGCTGCGTTGTTGAGGTCGCTTCCTTCTCCCTAGTCGCCGTGGGAGTCCGAAAAACGCAACATAGGGCCCCAGGACATTAAGTGTTTTGTTTTTCTTTCTTTTTTCGTTATTTGAATTGCTCGAAAATTGGTACGTTTTTCATGAAAAACAGAGCAAATTCTTTTTGTCAGATTCGGCCGTAATCCAGGCATATATCCTACTGCCGGAATCCGTTGTAGGAATTAACCCGCTGCCAGAATCCAAACTACTATAGTCTCCGACCTGATGAGAGCGGCAGGGAAAATATGTTTAGGCATAAAAAAAAAGTCTGCGCTGCGGCGCAAGGCAAAATGAAACGTCATGCGCAGACCCAGTGCCACATGGCCGACTACTTATTTAGGTCTAAGAATGTTTTCAGCTTCGTGATTTGCCGGGCTCTTTCCGTAGACCTCAGCGATTGACTCTCCCAAGTGCTTTTCGGGAGCGTAGGCACTCAAAATTTCCTAGAGTAAGACCAGCACTCCTACAGACTATCGCTCCTTGTAATGCTACATCCGTTGCCTAGCTTCCTGTTGCAAAATATTCGTTTCTTATTGGCTTTGTGTAATGTTTTCCATGTTGCAACTGCTCACAGTCAGAAGAATTAATCAGCGAAAGCACCTCGATGCCTTTTCTTCTAATATACCGTTCGATATAGTGATACAATGAATCTATATCCGTATAGCACACTTATCTCTCACTTTTCGGTTTTTTTTACGGTTCTTATACCATGTTGCAGGCTAGGAAAAGCGGGACAAACTGCTCCCGCAAATCCTTGAGCTCTTGCCACTTAGGAGAGCGAACACCGGAGAGGAGGCAAGACGAGGCAAGGAGCTGAACACGCCTCCTCTCTTGCGTTGGCTCTGCAGAGTGGAAAGGGGGTGAGTGCTTCGCGGAAGTGCTTGGTATAGTAGCCATAGTCGCTGATTGTTTGCGAACCGCAGGACGTGGCGCGTCCCGGACATATCATCATTGCTCTGCAACCAATACGATTGGGGCATAAAGAGATAAGAACCCATGCAGTGGAATTCGGCCGAACAGTGGCCAATGGCTTGCGATGATCCTTTGGCCAATTGCCAAAGAGTGACCATTTATCGGCCAATGCTTGGCCGATTGCTGATGGCTAGTGGCCAGAAAAAAGCCAATCATCAGCCAATCGCTGGCCACTCTCTGACCACTGGCCAAAGGACCATTTCAAGCCGCTAACCAATGATTAGCCAAATCTGTGCTGGTTGAGAAGGCCAAAGAACAAATCCCGAAGCAAGAAGACCTGCTTTCTCACGACGTCGGTGGACCTTTTTCAACCTCCGTCACATGGGCGCTGCCATCTTAGAATCACGTGACGCCGTCGCCATAAGGTGGCTTACACTCGTCGCTCCTCTCTCCCGTGCTTTGTGAAGTGTCGTCTGATACTAATTTTTCCTACTTAACTGCATGCCATCATTGCATTCACAGCTTCTGCACTAGATTTTATAACATGTCTTGACTATTTGCACCGTCGCCGTACCGGCTACGTGCGAGGAGTGGAATCAGCGTTAGCACTGGCGCACATTGAGCATGTAAATGACTCTAAGAAAGACGAGGGTTGAGAAGCAATTATATAGGCCAGCGAAAATTTGCTTAAGTGATTGTGGCTAAGTGATAGTTGCGCAATAACAAGCACGAGGTAAATTTATGGTCCTGCATTTATGATCTTAAAAAAGTAGGCAAATATATTCAAAGCAAGAAGTCAATATGTGTTTCTTGAAAGCGTCGTGCTCTGCCTTCAAAAAAAACCCAAGAAAGTCACTTTTGACTCTATAACTTTTTCGGGATAAACTTTTTTATATCTTTATTCGCGAATTTAAAGAAACTATACATAGTACTTAGTCTCATGTTTGAAGTCATTAAATGTTTTTTCAGATATCCAATTTAGTTAATTTGTTGGCAGTTTGATACTTTAGACCCATGTTCCGGATAAAAAAAACAGGACGCGGGATGGCCAAAAAAACATGCTTTTCGTGCAAGGCTCGTCAAATTATGAGGCGCTGGAGAAATGCAGCCTTCTGCGTTAAGTCCCTATTTTGAACTCTTTTTGTTCGCCTTCCGCCCATTGAAAAGCATGCGGGAAGGGCCTTAGAACGCACCTGGTATCGCTGCGCCGCAGCGTTCTTCCGCATCAAAAAGTTCGTCTGCTTTCCTCGCCGTCACCATGGCAACGAACACCGAATGAATAGAAGCACGCACGGTACCGTCGCGTGAAGCTAGCAACAGCTGACGCCATTTTGCTAACGCCGTCTACTAGCCAAAGCCGAACGCGGTGTGTCAGATCAACCGCCTCCGCCGGTGCGCCGCTAGCAAAGACGACGAAGCCGTGACACGCCGACGGTGATCGAGCAAGCAACAACACCGCGGGACGACTGCAACGGCGGCATTTATTCGGATCAAAGGCCGGCTTCGCCGGTGCGCCGCTAGCAAAGACGACGAAGCTGAGGCACGCCGACGGCGAATGGGCGAGCAACAGCACCGCGGGTCGACTGCAAGTGCGGCATTTATTTTGATCACAAGCGCGAAATAAGCAAGAACAATTTTTTTATTTGAATCATAACACCCGATATCCAAGTTGGGGACCACATACCTTTGCTGGGTCTTTCCTGTGAACTTTTTACAGAGACACGGGATGCCGCATTCAAAACACAGCTCCGTTTGCAAAATATGGGGGCCCTGAAAAGGACCGTTTAGACCGCTATACCAGAACCTATAACTGACATAACGAGCACTTGACGAGCGGTTGGCGCATAAGTCGTCTTTATGCATGCAGGCGGGTGACGGGCTCAGCGCAGCGGATCCCTCGAAGTCACCGGGGCCGTCAGAATTCTCGCCCTGTCTGCGTCGGGGCTCTATAGATTTTGGCGGCCGCGGCGACGAACGACTGGAATCTATCAGTGTTTCCGCGCGCCTTGTCTCTCCTCCAAAACATGAACTTTGCAAGGTGACCAGTGAAATGGTGGCTCTCGCGCCGTCCAGATGGAAGAGAGTTTTTGACGTGGGCCCAGGTGCAATCCACCGTATTGGTGTGCGCACCAGTGTTCGCGTCGACAAAGTTAAGCTTATGGTTGACGGTAAGGTGCGTGAAGCGAGCGTCATCTGCAAGCTTGCGATAGCCAGCCCCATAATCAGTGATTATTCTTGTTTCAGGGCGGACCCATTTGGCTATTAGCCCTTGCAGGGATTTAGCTTCACGGGTCTCCACGGGAACAAGAAAGCAGCACCCGCCGCAACGCGCCACACCACCGAAAACCCACTGGCCAGGCCTTAAATACCCGCGATGGTATTTGTGCCGACCGAACATACTCTCGTCTGGTTCTACAGTCACGCCGTCGCCACCAATCATGTCTGAATGCTTAAAGACGGCATTTACCACAACCTCCCGACAAAGGCTCACCCAATCAGTTATTGTCTTACTTGCGATATCAGCCTCCCGCTGAATGACGGCGCACGGTAGGTTCTGGCATCCGGAGGATGATTTTCATGAGTTGGAGAAGCGTCAGGTGCGTGCGATCCTTCGAAAAGGGAATCGCTCTGTATCGAGACTTCGCCCCGGCACTGAACTTTGACCGACTTCCTCTTGGGCACCTCACGAATCATCCACACACCGCAACGACAATAATAATAATTATTAAAAACTGCCGGATCTCCGCTGGAGACTCCGAGGCACAGTGGAGTAGTCGTCACGATAAAAAATCAAAAGAAACAAAATAAATAGCCTTACGGTCGTCGGCTGCGTCATAAGGCCTCGCCAAGTGCGGAGCATAACGGTCTTGGCATACGGTATGTATTGTGCATTCGTTATTTTCTTTTCTTTTCTACCACGTCAAATTCTGACGCCAAGACTCTCTACCTCCTCCGTTCCAACGCGTTGTTTGTTATTAATTTAACAAATCAGCTTCAAATGAGGGTCGTGGCACCCCGTAGAGTAAGAAAAAGAACAAAAAGGAATATTCCGAGCAGCCAGAGCAGCACGGCTGCTCTGGCCGCTCTGGCCAGAGCAGCTCCTCTCATCAAAGAAGACGCCGTCCGAAACTCCAACGACTCCCTTCTTATTTTATTTTTTTTTTATTCACTTTGTTACTTCATTTTGATGTTGGGTTCGACTGCTCCCTTCTCCGTGACGATGCCGTCCATGGACATACGTTTGGCGTTTTTTTTTGTTTCTTTTTTGTCACGCGATGGTGTGGTCCGACCGATCAACCAATGAGTTTGTTAGAATTGTGTCACGAGGTATAAAATGGCGGATGAAATAAATATAATGAATGCAAAGAAGCGCGCAGT